ACGATGTAAGAGTATCGGAAGCATTTATCGGAAATACGTAAAGCGTAAAAATCTGCCACCAATGGCTTGCGAAACAGATAACAGTGTTTAAAAATGAAAAGCCGGTCTGTTTGATTGAAACATCACAACAGTCCACTTTTAATCCGTTCTGAATACACTGCACAAATATAAATTTCTTGATTTATTGACCTTGAGCTCGAATATTTGAAAGTATTTCTGATGCAATGCTTAACGGCAGTGCCGCGCGCAAAACTCAAAACATTTATTTACATTACTTACGTCTCTCGAAATAACCACACCAAAGATTCTTGGGAAACGCTAAGTTACATCTCGAAAATCATGGCTCTTGCTGAAGGTTTGATGATAGCTTCGAATCTCCTGTTGCCCCTATTAATATTCGAACTCTCAAGCTACACGCTTTCCAATTTATAGTTTCGAAATCTCTACCTAGGAATCTGCTTACGACGCATCTATTATCCAAATGGACCCAACTCCAGGCACCGAGCGCTTGGCATTTTCAGGGCTAGCCAAAAACTGCCAGCTAAGAGATATACTGAAAAAACTTCATAGCGTAAAATGCGCAGACCCGTCCGTCTTCTATACATAAATGCATTACTCTTGCAGCCTTTGTTAAACTGTTTACTATATAGGACGACCTTTCGGTAGGATATGCACTTATACACTGAAGTCATACAATAAAATCATAGACAAGCATAACTTGCAAATCAAACTCAAAAGCCTGCAACAGCCTATATATAAAGACTAGTAAGCACTTGTGATTTTAACAGTGCCTTACTGCACAGTAAATTCGTATGTCTCTTTGTCACTAGCCTTTGTTTTAATACTAAATCCACTCTATCGACACTTTAGGGTTCCTAATGTCAGCTTTAGACTAACACTATCGATGAAATTAATCAGATCTAATTTTTGTATGGGATGCTAGAGTCTCTCCTAAAGGCCTAACTACATTTCCGTATCTCTTTTTTTTATTTCTAACGCGCAATATAGTTACTTTCATAGTACTATAGATTGAGGAAGTGGACACTCAGTCATCTCCCCGATATATGCTCCATATTGGTTAACCACAATGTGAGAAGACGTTCCTTTTCCTTAAATAAAGTTCCGCATAAAATCCGTGCAGAAATTTCTCTTTTGTCTTAGCAACTACGCGACCGAGGCAGGATACGAAACCGTCCATACCGTTGCAAAAAGAAATTGTTACTTCTCGTGACGCGTACCGCTTTCTTATATGCGTGAACGCCCTGCACACCGGTTGCGTGTCACTTAGGGCTGCTGGGTATAAAAGGCAACCGTCATAAAAGGCCCTACCCACCTCATGGAGGTCACTTCGAAATGCCCCATCACCAGCGAATAGCTCTGTGAGGTAGTAGGCAAGCTCCCCACCACATTGTATAATCCAGACGTCAATATCAGGAATTACGTCCCTCACAGCCGTATCCGGCAGGAATCTGGGTGTTGTATCTCGATATTTCTGCCATATACCCATGATCTTGCTTTCCGCATCCTTTGCCCAGAAGAATGTCTTTCCTGAACTTCCGGGTTTCAGGAATTAGTCCAAGCCAGTCGTATTCATCATAATTATGCGAGAAGTCTGAACAACCCTAAGCGCGCACATTGGTCACGTTGTCTTTTACTGTTTCCTAGTCGTGTCGGCGAGCAGCTCGCGTGCGGTCAAAACTGGGGTCCTAAAGAGCGCTACAGTCTCCTCTATGGCCATGACTATCTTTGTTTTCTATTTTTCAGGCCCGTCTATATTTAGCAGTATTCTAACAATGTCTACTGATACTCTGAGCATCTTTTTTACAGCGCACTTTATCTAGTGAACTCCGCCCTTAGCGTGATCGAGTTGTATGCACAAATATACAAAAAAAATACAAAAGAACAGCGCACTTAAACATACCTTTATCACGCCATTATTTACACAAACGTTGAGAAGGACACCTTGAGACTAGCTTCGCAGTCCTTACTAATTTTTGAATGAGAATAAATTTCGAATTACGGATGGCAGTTGCACTGAATACGCATGTCTATGACAGATGTAGCACATAAAAACGATTTCACTCGAAAATATATGTCTTCATTTAGATATAGCCTACTCACGACCAGCATCGGTTCTGTTTCAATTGTGACGTAATATACCTTATACATGACGCAATGGGCTATAGAAGAGAAAAGAACGTGGAAAGTAACTATGTAAAAAAAAAAATAACAATCATATTTTTATAGTGCTCGCTTACTTTAGAAAATTCGCTTACATAAAATTCTACTGCATTGTATTTAGAACTTACTTTCATAGTTTTTATGTTATAGTTCGCTCAAATCTAATTTGCTGCATGCGTGTTCAGTGACTCAGCTTCTCTTTTCCTGCACCGCCAGCGTCGAAAACAGTTACAGGACTAATTCAGGAAATCGACAGTTTAACACTGAAAAATATAACAACCTAGGATCTTATAGTTTAACTAAGGTGTGTTCATTGTATCAGGACATATTCATTAGGACGTATTCACAGCATCGGATCCAATGGACATATGCTGCACGTTGTGATTCAGCGCTAGCGACTTCAGACATAAAACTAAGGGCCGTGTAAACAGGCACAATTCAAACCTGCTCGTATATATACGTAGTTACGTAATGCAGGCTAGCGATCTGAGTCAGCTCCTCACCAACAATGTGGTAGAACCAATCGTAAAACTCGAAATTTTCAGTGAATAGAGTGGCCACACAAACAGACACGCTGTGCTGTTGTGTCTCGCTATGATTTCATCATACAATTCGTTGCAGTCGTATGTAAAATCCATTACTCATTTGTGAGACGTTCATATGTACGCTAGATAGCACAAAAAACCATGTACCCGAAGGACTATTGCAATGAAAACAATGATAAAGCTTCTGATTTGTGCAGGAGCAAGCAGCTAGGAATGGGAAAAAACATCGTGAATAAAACTCCATAGTTTTCCAAGAAAGAATACTTTGTACCTCCTTATTGACCGGATATTCCAGACTTAGAAACATTCGATTAAATGATGGCCACATGCATTGATTCAAGCGGAGCAGGGCAATCGGTATCATCATTATTTACGTTATGACTTGCGGTTTTTGTGTTATTAAATCCTTTTAAATTTCGTTATAAAGTAATAATTAATAAAGATAATTAATGGCTAATTCAGTGCCTTGGTAATATATAGTTTATAGTTGGCGCTGTGGCTCGGACGGTTAACCCAAGTTCAGGTGGCTGAAAAGGTCAGTAGTCGCTGATTGAGGTTTTGCCAATGACATATATTACATGGGCGATTAAATAAAGCAACAATTTATTTTATGGTAAGTAAAATGTATGCTTATATTATCAATACTTTTATACTTGCAAGCTGCTACGGATAGGCTAGTTCTTTTAAATAAGGGTCACGGCTGTTATTTTAGGATTAAGAAAAATAAGATATTTGGCATGAGCATCTTGATCTTTATATCCGTGCTTAATTCCTTTGTAGCTTTAGCATCCCCGTTAGGTCTCCATACTTGAAGCGGGCAACAGAAATGTACCCGTTGCGGTAGGCAATATAAGACACATTTGTCGGGTATCTGAGTAGTTTAATCCCTAAGTAGATAAACCCGTTTTTTTTTTAAATATAGCAAACATAATATTAATTTTTTTAAATTAAATAGCTATTTTTCTCGTTCCTAAGTATGTTGTCAAAGCTATAATAGGCAGTCTCTTACACCAAAAGCAACGATCCTCTTTTTGACGATAGGATCGTTCGTCATGAAACATACATTTGTATAGTTTCGCACGTATTTCTACCTGCACAGAAAATACAGGATGTGTATAATTCGTTCGATAGCGTGTTTTAAATCCTGAGATATAGGAATACAACAATTCCATCAATCTCTACCATTATTCTAATGAATGATAGCACATCTTTTAGCTCAACCTATCAGCACAAAACACGTTATATAATCATCCCTCAAAAGAAACATAAATTAAAACAGTAACCAGTTTATGTATTAGTGTCCACTTCTACATAATTAATGCAAGTACTGCAAAGTATGAATCAGACAAAATGCTCTGTTGTTTGGGCAAGGCCGGATTCGTGCAGACGGTGAACAATTGCTGATCAAACTTCGTATGGGGTTTTTATAGATTAGTCTAACCTTAGGCCTATATTGAGTGGGCTGCAGCCACTACTACTTTACTTTTAAAGACATTTTACTTTTCCTATGTAGAAGCAGGCAAAAGACTAATCATAGTTACAATAGAGGTAGCATCGAATAACTCGTTAGTTAAATTGTTAGTCTTTCAGTTTCGGAAGGTTTTTTAAACTTGCAAATTGAGAATTAAGTTGCTGCCATCGGTTCGACCAACCACATTAAGATTACACTCTATTGGAAAACGCAAACTTTTCAATCTCGATGGAAAAGGATTCAGCCGATAGGCTCCATTTTTCCAGCATGCGATTCTAGCGACCCATGAGTAAGCGCAGCCCGACCACTTTTAAAGTCGTTTCAGGTAGGTCAAACGCGCTACCCAAGATAGATATATTAGTACGATGTAGACTGCTATCTCTCAGATTATAAAGCGCTAATTCAAATCTACAACATCTTTACTTAGCGTCTTAGAACAAAACAGACACGCATTTGGCCCTTCATAAAAATAAAGATCAGTTTCAAATAAAATTGAAAACAGCGCAACAATTATAACATGTCTAATTGTAGGATGATTCTTCTATTCTGGACAAAACTGTCGATGATTATCGTATTAAAGAGAATCTTTAAACCGCAACATCTGAAGATTTAGCTCCCCATTTATAGTTATCTATTATCTAGCTAGCTTTATTTTGGGCTTCTCCGAACAATGTATCTTTTTTTGGAATGAAATTAATTTTTGTCGTAAATGACTATCGGGGACGCAATTTCGAAGTAACCCGCTCGTCCTCGGCTTTCGAAGTATCGCCGCGTCGCGAGCTGCTGTGTTTTGATTACGACGCACGTGTTGCATTCCCCGTGAGCAACTCGAGCGGGAATCGATCTATTCGCGTTAGAAATGGATGCAGTTCACTAGGATGTTATGTACCGCTACTTCGCTACATCGTAGCCGTGAAATTTTTTAATACGCTATTCTTGTAGCCTCCTTACTAAAGGTAAGATAGCTTTCCAAATTTGGCTTTCGAAATTTTAAGATAAATTATCCATGTCAATAAATAAATCTCGTAAATCAGCACTGAGTTGTTCAGCGAAATCTAGAGAGGATTATACATAAATGGTGAAAATATGTGACTGTCATATCTATGAACCAATACCCAACTTAGGGTCATTCTGGAACCGTGACCCGAGGCAAACGTTAATCGGCAGGGTGCTATATATCAACGGTGACAATGAAAAGCATTTTGTATAAGAACAGTATTTGCTCTGCGTAAACTTATGTGAGATATAGTTTGATATTTCGTATACAAAGCGTGCTTTCACAAATGTGACTTAATAGAACTTATATATTTGTACTTAGTAATTTAGCTTTATACATGCGGCATTGTGTCAGAAATTTGTCACTTTACAAAAAGTGACATAAATTACTGTTGCCAATGCTTATTCTGTACACAGCAACTAACTTGAAACTGTAGATGATGTTAGCAAAGCCTGTTAAGATAGTCATATCTATCTACTAAAATATTTAGTAAATTCCGTAGACAAATATTCATATTTCTAAAGGCAGCACAACATGTTCAACGATATATGTATTATTAAAAATTTGTATAGCAGAAATACAAAGACTCTGTATTCTTACACAATTAAGAAATAATTGCGCAGTCATAGACTTTATAATTACACTAAGCCTGTACCACATCATTGATGTCTGTGCATGCCATAGCCTAAAATTAATTGTAGAATTATGTAGCAATTTTTGTTTGAAGTTCTGCTCCTTCACGCATACCAAATATGGTTGCATTTAATGAATATTTTAAAATATCATTGTGCTGCGTTGCAGATCCCGCGTGGTACTCTAAGTTAGCTGCTGCTCGTTACCTGATAATTCCAACAAGATGGCTATTCACGAACAGACCCTGAAACGAAAATTGAAGCAGAGAGAAAAGGCCCAGAAAAAATTTAAAGAGGAGCGACTTCAAAAAAAACAAAAAACCGCAAGAGAGGAACAGGAGAGCCAGGCTGAAGAAAGTCAACATGTTGATCAAAGCTCGAAAGTAAGACAAACGGAAAATGATGAATCCATTCCCGAATTTAAGGAAAGTGAGCTCCCAGGTACATCGGCTGGAATTCTGTCATCCGAGGACTTTAGCTCTCTTAAAGGAAAGGTAAGCATTCTAAAATTCTAAGACGTCTACAAGGCAGTTTTGTTTATATAAGTCTTAGAATTTTAGCATGGAAACCTATATGCTCTATTGTATAGGAAATAGCATTCTTGTAGTTCTTACTCGGTCTACCAAAATTCCTTTGATCCTTTCATACACTTCGCCCACATGGTGATGAGTTATGTTCCTACGATGATGCAATAATAATGTCTTTCCTTATTGAACTTCGAAAGTTCGAAACCTGGATGAGATACATTTCGGTTTGCGCAGCCATCTGAAGCAGTGCTTCACTGCAGTACCGGCTGTAAAACTTGAAACAGCTATTCTTTGTGTGAGAAGTTGCAGTTTGCGTTTTTATTGAGATTTTGCGTAGCTAGATCAAAACTGCGCGTAAACAGTATATGTATTGGAGAACCAAGGGATTACTATCAAATATAAGAAGCATAAGTTTGCTAGTTGAAAAACTGTATTCATTAGAATCACAGTGCTTTTCGAATTTTTTGATAAGGTTGGTTTTAAGCTGCAAAGTTTTGCTACCAATATTTTTATTATGCTCACAGGACACGTTAAGAATTACCACAGGCTATCATGTATCACTAGTATGTCCATGTACACAAAGGAATGTACATGCACATACTAGGAATATGAAAAAAGGTAATGTTTCTTATCAGTTTGATGCCTATTCTGTGTACAATAGATAATGAGCATACCAAGTCAATGTGTTTTTCTATTACAGGTTGCTGATCAGACACTTCGTGCTATTTCCGAGATGGGATTTGAGAAAATGACTGAGATTCAGTTCAAGTCTATCCCATATCTGCTTGAAGGTCGAGATATGATTGCCAATGCGAAAACCGGGTCTGGAAAAACACTCGCCTTCCTAATTCCAGCTATTGAACTCATGCACAAACTAAAGTTTATGCCCCGTAACGGAACCGGCGTTGTTGTTATTACTCCGACACGTGAGCTTGCCATGCAGACATTTGGAGTTTTGAAGGAGCTGTTACAGTTCCATCAACAAACATTTGGTCTGATCATGGGTGGAACAAACCGAAACTCCGAAGCCGAGAAGCTCGGCAAGGGCGTCAGCATTCTCATCGCTACCCCCGGACGACTTCTTGACCACCTCCAGAACACCAAGAACTTCGTGTATAAAAACCTTCAATGTTTGATCATCGACGAGGCTGATCGTATTCTCGATATTGGTTTCGAAGAAGAGATGCAGCAGATTATTCGGATACTGCCGAAACGCCGGCAGACGATGCTTTTTTCAGCAACGCAGACTAAAAAGACGGAGGAGCTAGCTAGAGTCGCGTTAAAAGCTGAGCCAATCACGGTTGGAATCGAGGACAAGCAGGAGCACGCCACTGTTGCCGGACTTGAGCAAGGCTACGTAGTTTGTCCGAGCGATAAGCGATTTTTGCTGTTGTTCACCTTTTTGAAGAAAAATCGACACAAGAAAGTAATGGTCTTCTTTTCGTCGTGCCTTTCCGTAAAATACCATCACGAATTGCTGAACTATATTGATCTCCCAGTGGTATCCATTCATGGTAAGCAGAAGCAGGCAAAACGGACGACTACGTTCTTTCAATTCTCGAATGCGGAAAACGGTATTCTGCTCTGCACCGATGTAGCGGCACGAGGTCTTGACATCCCTAAGGTAAGAGAATCAACACCGTGGTAGGAGAGCAGTCTGATATTAATTAGCGGTCACGAGTAATCTCGTTTTGCGAAGCTTGTGGCTGAGTGTGTCGTTGTCAAGCATTGTCTACAAACGAATGTGACTTCTCTGATGAGATCAGACAAATTTAGGTGAGGATATCAAGTCTGTGTTATAAGACTTACTTGAATGTAATCTTGTAAGTGTGATGCTATTCTTTGGTTCAGTGTTAATCCATTATGCTCTCATATTCTAATGTATGAAAGCACTATAGGAAACCGTTCTCCCTGTAGAATTGCAGCGCAGAAGAACTTAGTCAGATCCAGTATATGTAAACGGTTCACTGCAACTGAATTTTAGTACGAACGTGACATGAATATAATGTCCGTGATAATATTGTGCGAAAATGTTAATGTCGATGCTATGGTTTCGGTGGCTAACTTTTACCTCAAGGAGTTAAAGACGGCTAGTTTAAGTCTCGTCATCGAGGTATTATCTACGGCATATGCATTCGAAGAAACAAAGCAACGTGTAAAGAACAAATATTCATATTTATAATCCTTTTTTTTAGGTTTTAGTGTATATTGTTGATTCTCATTGGAATATCGTGTTTATCAAAACTATCACTTACGTAATACGCTTTACTAGAAAATAGATTTTCTTAAGTATCTTAAAAACTTAAGTATTATACATGTTAGTTTAGATCAACCGCTACTTACGTTTTTAAGCAAATTTTCTTCGTTCATTTCAAATTATTCTAGGTGGATTGGATTGTTCAGTTCGACCCTCCTGATGACCCGAAAGAGTATATTCATCGTGTTGGCCGTACCGCCCGTGGCGAAGGCGGTGTTGGTCATGCCTTGCTGATCTTGCGACCAGAAGAAGCTGGCTTTCTGCGATACCTAAAATTAGCCAAGGTACCGATGCAGGAATTTGAGTTCAGTTGGAACAAGATTGCCAATATTCAGCCGCAACTGGAGAAGCTCATACAGAAAAACTACTTTCTTTATAGTTCAGCGCGAGAAGCGTACAAGGCGTACGTGCGCGCCTACGAAAGTCACAGTCTGAAAACGATCTTCGATGTGCAGACCCTCGACCTTATAGCGGTTGGTCGGTCGTTTGGCTTTGCAGTACCGCCGCGTGTCGATCTTAATGTCGGAGTTTCAAAGAAGAAGAATAAAGACTCAAGATTCAAGCATTTTGGTGGCGAGCAAAGAAGGAAGAAGACGCTGATTTATAAGCCTATACCCGTTAAGAGTAATGGCTAGGACTGGTGGTGACTTGATAGTAAACAATGCGTGAATAAAGCTCGAGCAGAAGTCATGCCTGTGGTGTGTATACAGCATTATAGTCCGTTATTTATTAATGGATATTGCATATATAATATTACAATAAATTGCAGACTTGGATAATTTGAATTATGTGGGATGGTAATTATTTACGAAACTTTTTTTTTTAGCTAATAGATCACTTATTTGACACTTTCAGAAAACTGTTACTTTGTGTGCCCTTATTTTCTTTCTGTAGACATAGAAAATGAATTACCCCGGAGGGAAATCACAGATAGGTCCACCAACAACCCTTTTGACTGTGTTTAATTAGTTTTCGATAGCAAACTCTCAGTTGTTAATGTAAATACTAACTAATTGTCTTCATTGAAGTTCATAAGAATTGTATCATGCTTGTGCAGTTCTTATCAATCTAAAGAGCAACTTAATAGTTTTAAAGGTCTTTTTTTCAAATTGCGTTTTTCCTTAGCACTGTCTTCTTGCTTTAAACGTATGACTTGTAAAATTGACCAAAAGTTGATTTTGTGAGAAATTCGGTTAAATGGAAGCTTAGGCTTTATATTTTATAAGAAACAGTGAGATAAAAAGAACGTTCATAGACTGATATTACTGGCCCGAATTTTGTTCAGCCGGGTTCATACGCAAATATATTTCAGTTAATCTTTTGGTCTGCTAGATGCCATTGAACAATCAGACTCATGTTGTTTATCTTCGTGATAGTGCAGTATAAATGTGTATACCTACTAAGATTAGGAGCACGTGAAGAGGCCTAGGTTCAAAAACCTAGTCTGGGCACACTGTTTTTTTGCACTAGAAATAGCCAGTTGTCTGAAGTAATGTTCAACTACATTCTCTGACTACGGGAACTATTCTCGGATGTCAACCTCGAAATATTTTTAACTCAGACCTTTCAACTCCGCTAACGTCAACAATGACTGCTCAGTTCACGCTTGTCATCATCTTAGGTATCAGCATTCTCTGATTTGCATGTTGTTATAGTGGTTCTACTTCTGTTCATTTCAACGATGCTCTAGGTTGTCCTAGGTGAGTATCCTGTTGCTAATCGGTTAACTACACCGACCACTGCGAACGGTATCGACTCACTCGACTGCAGGAGATCGTTTTTAGGTTATTCGTCCTGATCTTACAATCAATTTTAATAAATGCGCATAAAAATCATGTAACTACCACATTCTTCAACAACTATATTTTAAAAATTTTGTCATATGTTGGAATGTGTGAGATGATTCAAGTGTCGTCACCACTTGAACAAATGTGTGTGGTAGAAGTCAGTCTACTCCGTCAGCCACCGAGCATCCTATTGAACAGATCAAATTGGATATATAGGAATCAAATTTTCAGCAGCGATGTATCTTGTATGCGGCCTAATAGAATTTTGACCCTATTGCACAAGCACGCGCTTACCAGTCTTATAGAAAAACGACCCAAAGAAGCTAATTGCTAGAAGTAGATTAGAGGTAGTAAATTTCAATTAAAATCCCATTAGAAAAATAAACTATACCAACAATTAAAACAGCTTGGCCATAAGCTTACAGTAACAATCAGCTCATTGCGATCAGGCCATATAGTGGTCCATCTCCATAATAAAGGAGAAATAGTGGGTATCGGAATGGTGCATACTATTCCTAATCGCTGCACTGTTACTGGCAACATTCTGTGACATATTAACGTCTAAGGTCTCTTGTCGATTCGTTTAATAATAGATTTCTAATTGCAATCTATTAATTTATTTCAACAAGCCATAGTTAGAACTAGCAGCTTTGACGGCTTAGTTCTCCTTATGCTCATTCAAAAACATTAGATTACATTGTAGTCTATCCAATGATATTATTATTGAAATCGATGATATTGTGTTGCTCCTTTTACTTGACTAAGGTAATCGGAGAGCCAATATTGAAATCGTGGGCGAAGATTTGCTTTCTACATCTCAAGGAAAAAAAGTTTGTTAATGGTAGGCATTCGATTAGTCTACTTATAGATAACTTTATCAATAACTCAGCATTCTAACATACGTTGGCCAGCGTTGGATCTATGTATCAGTGTAAGTCTCTGTCATGTATCATGCAGGTACTGAAATCATATGTCATAGCTAATTCCAGTGTGTTAGCTTTTAGTGAATTACTTACATCTGCTTGACGACACCAGGTCGTGCATATCAATGCCGGATTTTATTTATAGTGTGGAAGGGTCATGCAAATATAGGGGCAGTTCGAGACAAAACAGGTCTCGACGAGTTTCATGTATGGCCAGCTATACTCCTTTTAAAACCAATAAATCGACATCATCCATCGAAAACATCATTAAAGCTTTTCCTGGTGTCTGAAATTCAGCTAGAGCTTTTCTAAGCATTTGATTTGCTATAAAGATATTCCACCATAAACCTTAGTAAAAACTACTAGTTTTCTCGTATGTATACAACAACGTATTGAATCGTAAGAAATAACGGTTATGAGCATTGAGTCGTTTGGTTCTAGTACAGTGCGATCGTGAATACGATTTGTCGCCCTTTTATATGGAAAGCCTGCCCTTTTATAATGGACCTACACGATTTGTACACAAACATAGATACTCAATTCTTTATTGCTACAATATTGATTAATAGATTAAGGTTGTTCCGCGTAGCTTAATTAAGTTCCCTATTCAACCAAGATCCCCTAATGAGAGCTTTGCGAAAATATCTTTTACCAAAAAATATTAGAAAAGCATGCTGTCAACTAATGCGCACTGTGTTGTCGCGCATTATTTGAAGACTAATTCTTTACATATCATCCACACTTCCACAATACGAAGCTCAATATCATAGATTGTCCAGTTTAATCTAATTATAATTGCAGGCCAGTCTAAAATACAGCTGGTGGCAGCATACGCATACCTTGTCGCCAATGCACACTCAACAAAAAAATCTCACTGTCGTCGTCTTCATACCACTTAGCGATAACAAACAAATCATTACCTTGTTCATAGACTTCTGGACATGACGATAAGCTTTAGGAATTGTTACTGCGCGAGGCAATTTGATGTTTTTCAGTTGCTTGTTCGTATGCGATAATACGCAGTTGGTATTCATTAACCGTTTAACTTTTCGGTCAGTGATGAGGTATTGTACTACCGCGCTCTATGGTATGGCGTGGTATTAGACCTTCCGATATATCAACAGCTATGCCAGTACCCCTTCAATCTACTGGAGATTTGTGTTTTGGTTTAAAACCCAATTCATGTCAAAAACGAGAGCATATGAAAGCTATACCATCGACAACAATTTATTGGACTTAACGGCATCGCGATAATGATTGTAAATGAAAAACAGATTGTTCGTGAGAAGGCTTAGAAGAACAGAAAGGACATCTGTTCCTCAAAAGATACCCTCAGGAATTACACAACGTTAATTCATCTACGACGGTACGCACTCAACAACATGCTTGTACAGAAATAACAAATTACAAAATATGGAAATAATATATCACGACATTGATGCTGATCGTTTATCCACGTGTTGCCTAAATCGTCATATTCATAGGCAAACAAGTTTAAAAATTCAAAGAGCTACGGCTACAATGTTGAGTTTACGAGAAGATCAGTGTGCTAGAAACCTGGATAGATTAGAGTGCCCACCTATCTAATATCGTTTTATGCCGAAACGTTGGCCCTCATTTGGTGAACATCTGCTGCTACCTGTTGAGAAACTTAGAGAAGCTATGAATTGCCAGAATCTCAAACCGAGATTTCAGATTTACACTCAGAAATTATTACTTACCATAGCTCTGCGACTAGAAACATTTTTAAGTTTTTTTTTAAAAAAGAAGATGTATCTTCGGTATGCAGCTGTCCTATTAACTCTATAGTTATACTCAGGGGACACTGGTTTGAGCCTCACCAATAGCAGGTGTGATTAAATAGAGAAGCAATGGTAATATGTCCAAGAGGCAATCGTGTTAATTCAGTGAGAACTTGTTTGCCTAAAGAAGTTAGGCGCAAGTGAAGTAACCTGGATTTAAGACCAGAAGTAGATATATGGTTTGCTTTCTCAGCTAGAAGTCAGTCGCCTGAACCTATACTTAACGCCAATATCGGACCTAAGGCTTGAAAAAAGCCTTAGGTATAAAAGGCAATGAACGGGACATTTCTTTCATTATACCGTGCGGCCCCTGTGCACAGATGTAAATAGGAATGCAATAAGTCTACGTACGTAAAGTGCATTTACCATAAGTTTTTAACACAAAACTTTTGCAACTCAAAGAGCAGAAGAGCAAGCTGATACTTAACTGTACAGATTTAATGATTTATATAGGAATTGTTATCCTCCTGAAAAATAATTATAAGATTTGCTGCAATAAAGACCTATTCTATGAAAAGCAGTCAGGAGGCCTTGATGAAATTCGATTTTTATTACGATTAGAGGTTGAAAGAGTAGTCATCTGCACTTTATTAAGCATTATATTATTAAT